GTGGATTTTACTTCATTTGACCTGGTGATTCAATTTGCATCACTATATTCTTCCAATACTGTTGAATATTAGTTATAATGCAAAGCAATAGTTTTTAAGTATGTTTTAAATACTCCAAAACTCTTTTCATTGTCATCAAATGAGTTTTATTGAGATTACTCGTGAACTGACTCAGCTTACTAATAGCACATGCTATATCTGATCGCGTATACTTTATGATAGATATCATACATCTCAATACTTTAGCATAATCCAATTGTGAGTTGCTTTTGCCTTCATGCTTTTGAAGTGCAAATCTCATATTTATTGGAGTCTTGACAATATTGAAATCCAAATGCTTGAACTTGTCAAGTACATTTTCAATCACATCAGTAACTTTAATGTCTTTCATATCGAAGTTACTTTCTAGCATATGCTTAGTAGCATTTACATCAGAAATGTCTCTTTTGATGATCAACAGGTCATCAACATGAAAAAAAAAACAATGACCTTGTGATTTGGAGTGTCTTTAATGAAAAAACATTTATCACATTCATTAATTGGAGTGTCTTTAATGTAAAAACATTTATCACATTCGTTAATCTTGAATTCATTTGCCAACATACTTTGGTCAAACTTCGCATGTCATTATTTGGGCGCTTGTTTTTAGTCCACAAAGTGACTTAACAAGTTTACAGACTTTCTTTTCTTTACTAGGAACCACAAAGCCCTTGGGTTGTTCCATGTAAATTTATTCCTCCAATTTTTCATTTAAAAAAAATGTTTTCACATCCATTTTGACGAATTTGAAGGTCATATACCGCAACTAGCGCGATTAACATCTGAATTGATGTAATCCTAGTTAGTGGCTATTATGTGTCAAACAAGGCTTTCTTATTGTCTAAAGCCTATAACAACAAGTCTTGCTTTGTATTTTCCAATAGTTTCATCAATTTTCTCTTCCTTTTGTAGATCCACTTTGAACCTATAGGTCTATTTCCTGAAGGAAGATCAACCAACTCTGAACCACTTAGTATTTAGAATACTAACAATAAAGATTCAATCTTTATACAACTTGTTTCTAGTTTAACGATGAAGTTTTATATTCTTCTAATCGTTAACGGAATGAACCTTGAATTCTGATGAAGTTTTTATATTCTTTGCATCAATTTCACATTCAAACAGAGTAGTAAACCAAAAAGGTTTTAATCTCCAGAAACCTCAAATACAACACTGTTTCTAGCTAACGATGAATATTTTATCTTTTTCAAATCATTTAGCCTTAATAATCCTGACGAAGATTTTGTACTCTTCAAGTCAGAATATTCATTCAAACAGAGTATTTAATAGATTGGTGAAGTTTCTATTATTCTTCAAACCAATGCACAATTTGATTTGTTCGTGAAGTTCTTATATTCTTCAAACCAAAGGACTAAAAAAAACTACAGAAGATTTTAGTCTCCAAAAGTCAAACACAATCAAATTTCACATGGAGTAGAAAACTACAAAAGTTTTTTTTTCTCCTCTAAACAGAATACATATTAATATTAATAAAGATATATTCTGAGATCATCACGTAATGATCATCTATCATAACATTTATGAAATAAATTTCATAACTTATAAAGGATAGAAAAAAAAATCAAGGGAAATAAAGATAAATCCTGATTATTACCCCCCTTGAATCACATTCTATTTGTCAGCAATGATTCCATGAAGGTCACTAATTGAATGAATTTGTATATAATGCAGGAGCATATCTGAGATGTCTCCATATATAGGTGCTAATTGCAGTTGCCATTCTTGTTTGGTGTTTATAGGAGGCATACAATGTTGTATTATTCTCATTGTATTTGTTGTATTTTAGTATAAGAGTGATATTAAGCGTGAATAAATATTGATTTGTTTTATTACATTTTAAAAGATCTTTTATAAATCCAAATCCTCGTTTTAGGTTGTTTAAGCTATTAATGTTATCTCCAGTATTTAGATTAGCAAACCAGAAATAATAAAAGATGAAAAGAAAAACACAAAGAACTACCCGAGTCCACAGAACCCATTGTGTGTCCTTAAGAAATTTAATCCCCTCAAGTACCCGAGGTTGCAGATTAATTCCTCCCAAGATAAAACGGATTAACCATTAAAGAAGTAGCGGTACCTCAAACTTCGATAATTTCAACGAACTCAAAATGACAGCAACGAATCACACATACAGACACGATCGATTTTGTTTTGTAAGAAATGTATGCAAAAGAAGGGAAGAATTCGATGCAGAAAAATGAGAGAAAATCTCTCTATTTATAGCCAACAAAGGGTAAAGGTCACAACCCTTTGGAAAGAAGACAACATTTCAGAAAGGTCACAATACTTTGGAAAAGACACAACCTTCAAATGGTCACAACTCTTTAGAAAGGACACAACCTTTCATAAAGGTCACAACCCTTCATTTCCTGTTCACACCTTTAAAACCCAACAATTATAACTCATGCATTTATACATGAAATTTTTTAAAAGATGTTAGATTTGTTGATGTTTTATCAAATTGATGATTGAAATTTATTTTTTATGATATATGAAACTCACGTTTTAAATTTGAGCTTATTTGAAGCTTATTTGTTGAAATCGCAATATTTACACACATATGCCAATATTCAACCCAAGTCACAGACGTTAACAACTTCGCCTCTGGGTCAATGCCCAATAACTCATGCAGATCCAACCATTAATGTCCCAAGTAAAGAGCACAACATAGAACACAAAATGTCAGGTGGGATGCATGTGTCTATTTATTTAATTTACACAAATTTTAGTGTCTATTTATGCACACTCAAATTTAGACGATATAAATACTCCCTCTGTCCCTAATTACTTGTCCACTTTTGAATTGACACACCTATTAAGAAAATAATTAATGACATAGTGAGTTTACTATTTTACCCCTATTGATTATTAAGTGGATGAAAAGTTCTACATTTTTCAAAATAATTAGTCAGTTAATTGAGGGTATAATAGGTAAAAAGAATTTGTCTTTTCTTGATTTGTCAAAATGGACAAGTAATTAGGGACAACTATAAAAAGAAAAATGGACAAGTAATTAAGAACAGAGAAAATATTTGTTAAGGTCAAGTTAAATAATTTACTTCTTAACCAACAACCAACCATCCTATAAGTTTTGTTCCCCTACAAAAGTACACATCTAGAAGTTCTCTTGATGTAGAACAAATAGCAAAATTGCATTTTTAACATTGTCCAGGTCAACCAATGCAATTGCTTGTCATAAATTACACTTCAGATTACCAAATGAAAACTAACTACTCCTATATTCTTTTGTTGTATATAACTTATGAGTGAAACTACTGATAATTAAAATTTCCAGCAAACACACTAGCAACAACTTTTATTTTTTCCATCCACTAGCAAATACTTAAAAGAGATATTTAGAGATAATAATTTTTTTGTTGTAAAAACATTTAGCGGTAATTGAGTTAATGCCATTAGATTCAGAATCACTAAAGTCTTTAGCACATTTATATAGAATCCTGATAACAAATATTCTTATTATATTATTATTGCTAAATAATTATGCAATGTATCGATCGGATACCTATGTATCGGGACATACACGATGTTGCATGACGTATTCGAAACCGAAACGCAATGTATTGGGACGTTGGGATGTATCCAAAACTGGGACGTGATTTATCATGACGTTTTGGAATGTATCCGGATTCCACCAAATTTCAGGAATTGTTGTGATTTGGAAAAAAGTAAGAATATAATGTAATTAGCTCTTAATATTATCAAATTTATGTAAAATTCTCATATTATTATTGTTACTAAATAATTATCATAAATTCTTTATTTGTTATAGCAGCATCCAATAGGTCATGTAATTGTCTACTGAGAAACTATGTTGCATTTGCAAAAGGACTCGACTTTGATGTTGGGTCTTATTCAATATTAAAATCATGTTACTATATGACATACGACCAATTCAAAATAAAAATTGACTGGGGTTGACGATGAGTGTGCCTCGTTTTTCTTATCCACAAGATTTCCAAAGTTTTTTTTATAGAATGTATCAATACTCTTTAATCGTATGGTCTGAAACATGTCAAATGCAAAGTTAGAATTGAAGAATTACAAAAATAAAAAACGACACTACTATTTTTTAAAAGGACTACTAATAGAGGATTTTCCAAATAATGTGTTGTTGTGTCTATCATTTCTCATTTTAATAATAAAACTCGATTGTTTACTTGAACAAAAAATTCATATTGATAGTGAAAGTGTACTATCTTAGAAAATTGTATCGTAAGGTATAAATCCACGTCAAAATTTTCTTTCACATTTTCCTCTATATATTAAGTCTTCATTTTCTTCCCAAAAATCAAACTGCACTCTTAAATACCTAACATTGACAAGGAAAAGTTAATAATATCATTTAGAATTCCCTTTTATTAAACTTCTTGGAAAGACTTATCAAGGAAATTGAGAGATCCTTTGCAACA